AAACGTTTTCATTCATGGATATATAAAAAGTTTTCATTTATTGTCTATTTAAAACGTTTTCAAATTTTCATTCAATCAAACCCTTAAAACTCATGCATTTTTCTGTTTCCTTCTCTGCCGATTCTTGAAAAGTTCATTTTGGAATATCAAGAAGCAATATTTTAGCTAAAGTTAAGCAATTGAAGTGAGTACTAAGTATCATGTTGCTTAACTATATACATATACAAAACAAATTGTGGCGAAAAGGCAAGATCTTGGGGGAAGAAAGAAGTTTTATCTTATATTTGCTAGATTTCTTTGTTGCACGTTCTTTATGCCTTCTCTTTTAGCATTAGTGGCTGAAACATCATAGACTTAAGTCACCAGTCCATGCCCTAAACATAATATGCATTCAATAAGGAAGGGCCAACGATTTGGCAAAGCTTCAAAAAAATTTCGATCTAAAATTGCACATTAAATGGGTTCTTCCGAAATTCAAAGTTCAGTTGAATAAAATCTAAAAAACATTAGCTCTCACATGGACAATACCAAGAAGCACAAGCTCGAGACGCTTATTCGACATTGAAAAATCGGGTTTTTTGAAAGTTATTGATGATGATGATAAAATATATGTACACATGCCTATGAGGATCTTTCTGAGTTTTATGAGGTTGTGAGGAAATCGATTAGTGTCGATGTAAGTAAGATTGAAGTCTTTAAGATGCTTCAGACATTAAAGAAGAAGTATAAGAGAAATCTTAGTAAAAGAAAGATTGGAGAGGGACCAATATTTGGTTTGTCCAAGTCTGTGTGGGGAGAACTAGGTTATTTGGCAGGGAAAATGGCCACAGTTGCCAAACCTCAGGATCATGTTTTTGATGTGCCAAAGCCTGTGTGGAGAGCTCCACGCTATAAGAACCACATAGATGGAGGAGAGAAAAAGAGCAGTGGTGGAAAAGAGACAAACGAAACCTGTGTTGAAACAGTTTGGAGCGACGAAGATAAAACTGCCCTTTTACAAGGGTTAATTGACTTCAAATCCAATACTGGTACACATGCCTATGAGGATATGTCTGGGTTTTATGAGGTTGTGAGGAAATCGGTTAGAGTCGATGTAAGGAAGATTGAAGTCATTGAGAAGCTTCGAACATTAAGAGAAAAGTTTGAGAGCAATCTTGGTCAAGGGAAGAAGGGAGAGGAACCTACATTTGTCAAGCCTCACGATCGTAAAATCTTTATTTTGTCCAAGTCTATTTGGGGAGCTCTATACTATTCAGGGAAGAGTGGAGAGGAACCCACATTTGCCAAACCCCATGATAGCGAGGTCTTTGATTTGTCTAAGCCTGTGTGGAAAGCTCAACGCGATGAGAATCGTGATGTCAAAAGGCGTAAGACGAAGAAAACCTAATTTTACTATAAAGAGCATTGATTATTGTCTTAGCAAACTTATTCAATTTGTCTACTTCCTTCTGGAACTATTCTTTTTTGCCCTGCAGACAACTCAGTTGGGCTTCACAATTTGCTAAATTCACTTGGCATACTTTATGTCATCCTTAGCAGCTAAAATTCAAAGTTTGGTTGAATGAAATCTAAAAAAAATCGTCTTTTCTCTGAAATCTTGGTTATAGTTGAATGTAAGTGCCAGCCTCCAAGAACATCTAGCTGTCACATGGACAATACCAAGAAGCACCAATGCTGCTAATCCTTGAGAGCAAAAGCTCGGGTTTCTTCAACATTCAGAAACCGGATTTCTTGAAAGTCATTGATGATGATGATAATGTCGTTGCTGTTTGCAAAGGAGTAGCAACAATATACAAGAAAATGAGAATGGTCGGGATCTCTTATGTCTACCTATAAAAACCAATCCCACAATTGCTTCATTCTCATCACAAAAACACAATCATAGTTCAAAATACACACCTCAAAAGAACAATAAACAAAGCTTAAATCGATCAACAAATGTCGAAGATTCCGGTTATTACCGTCATGGTGGTTGCTATCTTTGCCGGTTCTCAGCCAGCAACAACCGCTTAGCCAATGTACATCAGCTATACCACAGCGAGACCTTGTATGAATTTCTTAACCAACCGTAGCAGCAACGGTCAACGGTCAACGGTCAGAAATGAATCAAGGTAAAAAAAGTCCCATTTCGTGTGGCGGCTTCGCTATTTGGCACAAGGATTATGTACTTATCGGAGTCTGTCTCTGTTTTCTTCATTCTCGATTCCTCTTTTCGGATTCGTACGTAAAGGTAAATATACTTAGACTTGGATCTCTGTATTGTAAGGGAACTGATAATCTATCACTTTGGGGTTAAGGGAAATTCTGGTCACTGCTCTTCTTAAGGTAGAGATTTTAGGGCTTTTACTTAGACTTTGATTTCTCTGAATTTCTTTACGAAAGTAGGAATCTTTGCTCGACCCAGATGAGATTTTGCTGTGAATTGATCTATAAATCAGTTTAACTGTTCCTACTTCGATTCTTGTGTTCTTTGTTTTGACTTTTGTTTTTTGGATCTCAAACCAAATTTGGTGTTGAAAAAGGTTGTTGGAGAGGTTAAGAATGAGTACCCTTGAGACCACGAGAGCTGAGCTTGGTCTGGTTGTTCTGTATCTGAACAAAGCGGAGGCGAGAGACAAGATTTGTCGAGCTATTCAATACGGTTCCAAGTTCTTGAGTGATGGGCAACCTGGAACTGCTCAAAATGTCGACAAGTCCACAAGCTTGGCAAGGAAAGTTTTCCGTCTCTTCAAGGTTTGATTGTTTCTCCATCTCTTATCAAATTTCATATCACACTTGTACCTGAAACCAGTTCAAAGTTATGAGATAGCTACGACGTGTTTTATGAGGTGATTTTGGGGTAAAAGACTTCCTTTTTTTGGTTCTTGTATCATGGGAGCTGATAAATGTAACAAGACGTATTGATCCATGGCTATATCTTAGTTAAGTCGGAGCTTAGAATCAAGCACGAAGATTCGCTCTTGAAACATGTAGTGGAAAGATCTGTAACTCACTCAGACTCTTTGAGTAAAACACGGTTCTGCCTTTATGCTTAGTGATCATGTTGTAGATCTGGTCAAAGGGTTTGTCTTGTGAATTGGAATTGACTGTTTTTTGAGATTTGAATCCGTTAGTTTCACTTGCAAGAAGCTCTATATGGTGTTTATCTTGTGATGCAGTTTGTGAATGATCTTCATGGTCTCATTAGCCCTGTTCCCAAAGGGACTCCACTCCCTCTTGTTCTGCTCGGAAAGGTAATGTTGTTGCTTGCTTGCTTTTTAGAGCTTGTTTCTTTTCCACGAACTGATTGATCTGATGATTCATGTTCTGATTTTTGGCAGTCCAAAAACGCGTTGCTGTCTACGTTCTTGTTCCTCGATCAAATTGTGTGGCTTGGGAGGACTGGTATCTACAAGGTGAGGATAAGTTTGTATGATAAGAGACTAATTTCCTCGTGTTAAACTGAAGTTTCTGTTTCTGTTCTGAATCTGCTGTTATAGGACAAAGAACGCGCTGAGCTCCTTGGACGTATATCCCTCTTCTGTTGGATGGGTTCTTCGGTCTGCACATCCTTGGTGGAGGTTTGTTCTCTGCCATTGAATTGTTGCTTATGTCTGGTTAAAATGCAATACTGCACAGTGTAATGGCTAGTAACTTTTCGTTGCCAATGTTTAGATTGGGGAGCTCGGTAGGCTCTCGGCATCAATTAAGAAGTTAGAAAAAGAGATTGGGAACAAGGATAAACACCACGTAAGCTTCTTCAAGATCTCAACTCTAAACCATGATTCTCTATGGGAAGAAGAATTGCTGAATTTGATATACCATTTTGCAGAACGAGCAATACTGTGCGAAACTACAGAAATCGAACGAGAGGTCATTGGCTCTGATCAAAGCAGGTATGGATGTGGTTGTTGCTTTCGGATTGCTTCAACTGGCTCCAAAGAAAGTCACTCCCCGAGTCACAGGCGCTTTTGGATTCGCCTCCTCTCTTATCTCTTGTTATCAGGTAATTTCCGAATCTTTTCAAGAAAAACAGTAACTTTGAGATAAAGTCAGTGACTAAACCACTCAATATCTCTCGCTCTGTGTAGCTATTGCCATCGCATCCTAAGTCCAAGACGGCCTGAGAAAGGAGAAAGAAGAAAAGACAAAGTAGTTTCTTTTAAGCATGTTCCATAGTATAGTGCATGTCTTAATACTGTTGTGTTTGATTCTGTTCAAATCGTCAGTAAAATGCTACAATATCAAAGTTATCAACACAAGACATAAGCTCTAATAAGCTCTCAAATTGTAGTTACGGTGTGAAAAACCCAAGAAACATGACCTTACAATAGTCTTACTATCGTCTTAAAGCAGAAAAAGTAAAATAATTAAAGCTAATTGAATAAATTAGGATTACACATCACAGCTTACAAAAACGCTTCAGAAAAGTGACGCATGGTGAAATCTGTGTTAAATTCACAAATTTGCGGTTCCATGAAGGTTTTAGGCGTTACATTATAAGCCATATTGGTCTTCTTCTTCATCAATGATTGTTTGAACGTTTCGTCGAAGTTTGAGAACCATCGTCTCAATTCGGCGTTCGTCTCCGGCTTCATTCCGATCACCAG